TAAACGACATCGAAATTTAAAACCACATACTATTATTTATGTTTAAATATGTTCTACAAAATTTCTGTCCTTTGCTTTTAGTACATTACAACACTGTCAAAGTACAACCAGAGATACGCCATAAGGAAACATCAATAACAGAAGATGAGAAGGAAATTATCTTTTACACCAGCAGTCTACAGTATAGATGTTCATTTGATGCCATGGAAAACACACACTATAAAACAAACTGGTATTTTTATATTTTTAAAAAGTACCCCTATTGCTGAGTAACACTGAAATCTTAAAAAATATAGCGAACATGTGTAATAAAGAAATAGGTAAGCATCGTTCTAAAAGTGTGATGTGTAGGGCCAATGTGAAATCATGCTCTTAAACTTGTTGCGAGTGGAACAACTATGTGCTATTTTTCGCGATCAGGGATGTTATATTTTCGATCCTTAAAGAGCGTTCAGCACAAAATTATTGTTTTGTTTGTGGTACTCGAGGTAATGTTTAGTGCCACATCTCTCTTTGAATTTTCCAAATTTAATCACGTGGCAAATTTAGAGGAATTATTTTTGCATATGAAATAAGTTTTTGTAGCAATTATATATGATAATGTTTTCATATTATAATATCATTTACAAAGTGACTTTAAGTTACTTGTACTCATTTTGTATTCCATTTTGTTCATCTTCAATAAATGCATGCGCGCAAAACAGACCCCATTTCACAGGCTCAAAATTACACATCTTTAGCAACAACTAAAACCATTGTACATAAAATTATATAAAAATTAAAGAAAACTTAAATAAAAAACATCTTCAGATATATATACACATTTTCTAAAAGATAGGAAAAGGCCTTTATTTCGGATCTGATTTTTTTTCAGAATTGTATTAGATTATTCATAATTGTATGTAAATTCTGTTTGTGAAAAAATGTTTGATATAATATGGGGTAAAACTAAATTCTGAATGTATGACATATTTACCATCTAGATAGTTTGCTATAACAGTTTGAGTTTGGTGCATTCTAGACTTTCTAACTTGCAATAAAATATGTTTACGTACAATTCTTTGAATGTTTAAAACCCGACACAACCATACTTTTAGTTTGTACAAATTCACTCATTCTTTAATAAACTTGTTTGAATAACTTATTATACTTTAAGAAATTTCTTACCTTTAAAAAGAGATAATTGGAAAAAAATCATGATTTAAACTTAAATTAGCATTGCAAGGACAATATACTATAATTAGGGACTATTTAAATGGAAAATTTTCTGCTATAATTTAAAAAAAATGGATTCAGATCAATATGCTCTTGTCGCAATAAGAATTTTTGAAATTAGGCAATAATATATATTTGAAATAATAGACGGAAAAAGAATGAAGCAATACCTTTTCGATTTGCATTGTAATTATTTTTTTCCAATACTATTATAATAAATGAATAAAAATGTCTTACCGCTAAAGGTTTTAACGAGTGGAAACGGTAGATATTTTTATTAAAATACTATTATAGTTTTGCAAATAAATAATTAAATGTAAATCGAAATATGCATCGCTTCATTGTTCTTTTTACCACTATTTTTATACTTATTATTTGAAACTTTTATTTTGAAATAATATATATGTCAAAATTGTAAATGAATCGACATGAAAGGCCTTTTATATGTACTTAACTTATCTATTTATAAATAACAAAGAATACTTATGCATTTTGTAAAAAAACGAAGATATAGATCTACTTCATACAATCATACATTCTGTGTAAATGTGCATATATATTAATAGTTAATTAACAATCATAGGTATATAAACGGAACCTTTCAAGTACAGACGGGACCTTCTTCCAATATAGACGACATGGTATTGAAAGAGAAATATCTTACAAGTTTGAAACACGGATACGAGGTACCGGGTTATTAATTTCATTTACTTTTAACCAATCACATTATCGCTTTAAATCTATTGTGAGTAAGGAAGTCTGTAAGATTATCCTTTCTTGTGATGATAAGATTTTTCGATAATCAGGATGTTTTAATTTTAATACATGTAGTCGTTGACAAACTATTAAGAGTATGTGAATAAAAGGGTCGATTTTAATAACCAAAACTAATCAACATATTGTCATGTGAGATATAGTAACTTTAAACATTATTTCAACTTTATATTTGAAGATATTTTATCATATAAAAAAGACCAAAGAAATTGTTATTTGTTATCCCGTAATACTAGGTCCGGTGTGGTGTATTTCCTGCAGATGAAAACGAGACAATGGAAGCTTCGAGTGATACTTTTTATGCCGGATGGAAGGTTATCTAAAACTTTGATACATTTAACGTAATAAATATCACCTTTCAAATGAGAAAATACATGATGTACAGAAAATCAATCCAATTAATGATATTCTTATATGTTTTGACTTTTCGTTTTTTTAACAATTATTTTTTAAAATATTTAAATATTAATCATCATAAGTCATTCATTGTTTCAGATATCAAACAAAGATATCTTACTGAGTAAAAGTGGAGTTACTTCTATAACAATCGAGCAAACAATTCCCTTAGGATGTGACTACAGAGCTGATAATGAAGCAAACTGCCTAGAAACAATATCTTTCGAGGACATTATAGATAATTTAGATGACTGCGGCGGTCGAATAGAAGTAAAAAGCTCCGATGATCCAAGTAAACCGTTTCTAGAAATAAAGGTAAAACGAAGCGACCGTTTACGATACAATGTGTACAGAAAATAGAAATAATTTGTAGATTAAAAAAATAGAGCTCGATTGCTTTTTTTCCTGAACTTTCAAGATTTTTTTTCGAATATTAGAAAGCGGATAAGTGAATAAGTAAACTAAAATGTCGTTGATGATGTGTCAAGTTATACAAAATCATTTTCCTTACTTTTGTACCGATTATGCCCTATGACATGAAAGGGAACGCAAATATTTTATATCATATTTCAATTAGTCTATGACTTCTTTACAATAATTATTCTCTTCAAGAGTTTGGTAAAAGGTGAGATATGGACAAAGAAAAAGTATACAGCACTATTTTCATCTATAGACAGCGATTATGATGATAAGACCGCTTTTGACCTTCAATTAAAATTGACGTACAACAGCCTTGATGACCCCGGAATAGCTGTAACACCATCGGTAAGAAGTCTTAAAATCTATATAGATTATTAAGCAAAGTCATTAATTATATGCTTATAATATGGTGATTTATCATGCGAGATTGTTTTTTTTTGTGTTATATTTGGAAGCTTAAATTCGTATTCAACTTAAACCTATTTTATTTCGGTTTTTTTTCAGGTAATTGGTGAAATTCATGTAAGTGAAAATTGTTTTTTATTGTAGTAAAATATCATTATTGAACTACGAGCTTAACATATAATGTTAAATGTTAAAATGTATGGTATATTTGTCAAAGTATCATAATTTATAGACGGATAGGCACAAATTTGACCTCTTTAGTCATAAAAGTCATGTTAGATTGTGTCTAAATATTGATTTGTTATAAAAATGTAGATTTTAGACATTGTTTTAATAGAATTACAGTCTCTTATAACTCCATATGTAGGATTGGCTTTGAGTTTTGTAACAAAAATATTTATTTTTAAAACGTATGTATGTAAAGGACGTTAATATAATATTTGAGTTGAGTTGTAATCAACAAGTTGTTTCGATCATTAAAAACATGTGTGATATGTAATTATATGTAATTTAGACCGTGAGAAAGTTAAAACTCTAATCGATTTTATTAATCACTTAACATTCATTTAAGATATATCATGTTCAGATTTAATATTTTAGAAAATTGCAAATTGCTATACTGTCTGTTTGTAAATATAAACTTTGCAGCTTCCCATACATAGTATGTACCTTATTTTATTCAAATCAAATTAGACATATTTATTAAGAATTTCATAGATTTCGAACAATTTCTATGATAAAATTATTTTTCTCAAAGATGAGCATAGTATATCTAAAAGATGAATAAGATAGTAAGTAAAGTTTATTTATGTAACATAGGCCTCCGGCCCAAAATACAACATAATACAACAAACATGAAATAGCAATGGTAAAATACAATGAGATGATCATTGATATACATGTACATAATAAATTGTAATATAAACATTGGTAGACATCATATCAATTTTTCTTTGAAGCTATATAGAGATATTAAGAGAATTTCGTAGATCAGTTGTAGAATACACTATATAATTTCCTTTATAAAGTTTTATGTATGTATTTTTTATTTTTTTTTAAGTACTGAATTGGCGTCTATATTTAAGTGCATGATCGAGAAAACGTGCGATAGTCTTATATAATGTCACATCTGCGTTTCTTAGAACAGATATAAATTTTTCACGTGAAGGATTTTTCACCAATATATCTGGTAGAATATTTTTACGTATAGTATTAAAGTGAATACAAATCAAGAGAATGTGATATTCATCGTCTAAGCCCGTAAAACAGAGAGGACATATCCTTTGATCAATTGGTATATTATTAAAGAATCCAGTGTTATAACCCAAGGGCAGTAAACCGCCTCTTAATTTTACAATGAGCGACCTGTAATATGAATTTTCAATTTGATCTAGGTACGATTCTCTTATAAAGTCAATTTTAATACTTTTATAAAACAACAGTCTACTAGATGAATCAAGAGCCTCCCGCCATGTTTGGACATCAATATCGCGCAATCTTTGAGATAATTCGCGACAGAACAAGTCAATATTTCCTACTCCCTGGTTAATCCATACATGACCAAATCCATTTATGAAAAGAACACGCCTAATTTGAAATGCCCAGCAATCAATGTTATTTTCTGCCCACCGGTATTGGACTTTATAGCATAATAAAGGTAATCTATTTTCATTCATTTTTAGAATCCTAAACCAGTATTTGATTGCTTTAAGAACTCTGTTACAATATAGTGAAAAACGGCCCGACTCTCCATATATATACATACTAGGAGTTGACCAATTTAATTTCAATGCATATTTACAAAACTTGTTATGTACGATGTCTATATCTTTAGCTTCATAAGAAAACCAAATTTCAGAGTCATTTGCCAATATAGGCTATATTTTTGAGTCAAAATTTTGAACAATATAGATACAGGAAGTTGTCCAAATCTGTATAAATTAGTTTTAAGTGAAAAATAGCTTTATTTGCATGTTCAGATAATGTTTTTGACACATATACCATGATAATCTAGACGAAAACACTATTCCTAAATATTTATAGTAAGACGTTACTTGTATATTTTCTACGCCATAGAACCATTTTTCATAAGCACGCAGGTAACCACCATTCCTGGAGACAATGACCTTTGTTTTATCGAGATTAATGTTTAGATTCCAATTATCACAGTACGACTTTAACCGATTAATCATTCTCTGAAGTTCTATTTTTGTTTCGGCAATTAGAACTAAATCGTCCGCGTAAAGTAAAGTGAATATTTGTTTAAATTCTAATGAGACACCATGGCAACCATCACATTATTAAGGTCATTTAAGAATAGAGAAAATAGTAATGGTGATAACGTACACCCCTGCCTGACACCAAACGGGCATTCAAAACTTTCTGTTAGACCAGATGGGGATTTAACTCTTGCTTTAATATCATGATATAACGATTTGATCATTTTTTTAAAACTTTGAACGTAACTTATTTGAGCATAGTTTATTGTATAGAGCCTGTCTATTAATTCGGTCAAATGCTTTTTCAAAATCAACGAATAAAGTATAAAAACGGCCTTGAGGTTTTTGTAGATACTTGGTTATAAAAGTGCACAGGCAAAATATATTATCTATAGTGTTATAACCACTCCTAAACCCACCTTGTTCTTCACCTAATACAGAGTTTGCATCACACCATTTCTCAAGCCTTCTATTTAAAATGGATGTAAATATTTTACTCAGTACAGGTAGTAAGCTGATTCCACGATAATTGCTTGGATCGTTTTGGTTACCCTTTTTAAGTACAGGTGTGATAAGTGAAATTGACCAATTGTTGGGAAATTCACCGTTATCGTATAGCTTATTATATAACAAACATAAAATCGGGATAAGTCTGTCAGAGGCTGCTTTAATAAACTCAGCTGTAATGCCATCAATACCTGCTGATTTGCCTAATTTGAGTTGACCTATTGCCCAGCTGACCTCAGAGGGAGAGATTGCGGAATCAAGAATATCATTAAATATTACACTGTCGTTTGTGGTATCATCAAACTCACTGTTAAAAACGGGATTAAATAAATTATTAAAATAATTATACCACTCTTCAGTTGTTATATTAACACGATTAAGCCCTGTGTTTGTCTTTAAATAATTCCAAAAATATTTTGGGTTATTACAATTGGCAGCAGCGACAAGTTTTGATCGTTCATTAGCTTCATATCTTAGCCTAAACATACGACATGTTTCTCGATATTCGGATTTAGCTAATTTGTAGTTGTTTAAAGCGTTATCAGTGCGTGATCTACGAAATTCTCTTAACCTCTGAAGAACATTGGTACGAAGTCGTTTACAAGTAGAATTATACCATTTTTGACATTTTTGGTTTGTATTAAGATTATTAACACGACTATTTCTATTTATGTTTGATCCAGCATTGTAAAAGCAATCTGTTAGTCTCTGTATAGCTAGATGTATATCATTATTATCTAAAGCAGTATTAAAATAGTCATACATAGAGTCAATACCTATAATTAACTTTTCAATGTATTGTTGTTTATTATTTTCATCCCATTTCAGTTTAGTATATAGGTTTTCAGATACGTTACTAAATACTTGTTCAGAAAGACTATCTTCTAATTGTGTTGAGCTCTTAATTTTAATGTCGACGGGCATGTGTATAGATTCAATTCGGTTTTCAACATCAAAATCTAAGACATAATCAGATAATGACATATCAGACAATATATAATCAATAAGACTAGGAGAATAATCAGTATAACAAGTACAACAACCTTTGCCAGCATCGTTACCGATTCTGCCATTACATATACGAAGCCCAGTAGCAATACAAAGCTGAAGCAATTTTTGGCCGTAATTATTTATAGATTTACCATCAGAATTAGCTCTAGGTGGCGGAATAGTATCTTCAATATAAAAAGTATCACTTAACAATGGAAATTCACCATCCATAGCAATATAATCAGGGTTTGTGGATGTATATGCATTAAAATCACCTAAAACAAAAATGGAATGACCCGGATAGTCACTTTTGAAAATAGCAAGCTCGTTTTCGATGATATCAAACAATGCCTCATTCGAATGTATGGACGAATTTTCTGGAGAAATATAAACAAAACCTAATAGCATATTATGAAAAATATTAACTTTAGATTTAACAAGTAGCCATAAAATATTGTGACTAGAGGATCTTAATTGTCTAATTTCTGCATACTGAAATATAATATTTTTACAAAAACAGATATTCCACCTGAATTTCGCTTTGCATTTTTAGTTAATGGTCTAATAACATCAAAACATGTATACCCAGTTAATGAAAACTCACCATAATTCTTAGCCCAAGTTTCTACAAAACCAATAATGCTAAATGACTTAATATAATCAACAAAATCTGTTGAATCACAAATATCGTTTCTTCCAGACAATTTTGATGATAAACCAGAAATATTCCACACACCTAATTTCATAGCATGAAAATTTACGTCAAACACAGAATTTGTAACATCATGTCCAATAAATAATGAATAAGATACATTTGTTATTGAAATTGAGTATTTAGTAGTCAAGTTTTCTATGAATAAGATAAAAAACATTACTGGTTTATGAAGGTGGATATAACGGACGTAAACAGACACTGGAGTAAAAGATGTTATTCGCACGTGGACCCGCATATGAAAACTGTAGACGGCATGTAAGATACTATTCTTTCAATATTTCAAAAGATAATTCTTAGATCAAGTTCAAATAAATATGAATATCATTTCATAATTGTTAGATTCTCTTTATTCTTTCATTTTCTTTGAAATGTCTTCAAACGATGACAGTTTTGTTAAGATAAGATTATTTTCACAAGTATGGAATTAACTTCTTGCCTCTAGATGCCCTTACAAATTCAGTATTATATAAACAATCTATAAAAAGAAAACTTGTCTAACAAAATGATACATTAACTTTCTTCTGCTTCTTTTTTGATTTTCGAATTGGATTATTCAATATATCAAAACATACATTTGATTGTTAACGTCTTTCTATATAATTACATTATAGACATTACGAGGCACAGAGAGAAGGGGACTACATGTTGTACTGGAATGACAAATTTCAAACAGAGGTAATTGCAGGCTTTTTTTTCTTCCTTTGTTTTCCCTTTTTGTTATCTGACTATCTTTTTCATTGGATGGATTATTTGTATTTAGGATACAACATTATGAACATGACATTTGTGTTGAACAGGAGTTCATTGCTCTTTCCAGGCAATTATGACTTTTGTCACGAATTTCTCTTTTTGCTTCAAAGGTCATCTTTGTTTGAATGTTTGTATAAAAGTCGCATTCTTCCGTCGATTGCATCTGAAATGATCAAATAATGAAGTTGATAAACGTTTTTTGTCGATTGTATAGAAAAAATTAAAATTATAATGAATGGGTCCCCATTATGTAAGGAATCTGTGACCTTGCCCCGTGTTCACAAAGAAAAGATCAGGATCAGGATCAGTTGATCCTGATTTTATTTTCATTGTTTTATAAAACTAAAACTAATCGTACTATGCTAGAATTAAATGGTACATATTCAAATTTTAAATAATTTCTTATTTGCAAAGAAACTATCCTATTTTGGGATAAAATCAACAAATAAGAGAACAAATACAAAAATAATCGGATCAAAATGAGGATCAACTTTAGGATCAAGATCAAAATTTGGATCAACTGTAAAATACCCATATCTTGTAAAAATAACAATAAATTCATTCTAAAATTTCATAAAGATGCTATTTCAAGTCCAGTTTTATCAAGTTAACACTGAAAATTCAATCTAAGAGGATAAATAATGGAGAATATTCGAGTTTTGAAATTTGATCCTGATCTTGATCCTGATCCTTAAATATTTGTGAACACGGGGCCTTGTGATTAAATTGTTTGCAGTTTTACCGTGAAAGTGTTTTGTTTCCAGACATAACATCATTTTGATTTGTTACAGGAGTATATGAATTTTTGTGGAAGTTCAATCCAGCTTTTATCACACACTGTATACAAAAATAAATATGTTTAAGCTAAACTTTATCACATACATGTTTTGAAATAATATTTCTTTAAATCTGTAAATGCGACATTGTTTTACATACGATCAAATAGTGGTTAAAAGAATAACATGTCTTACTGTATACCAACTAAGGTACAAACATCTGCAAGATATTGCTGGCACGGATACAAGGGTGGTCCAGTTTGTGCTTGTGGAATAGCAATAGCTGTTGGTGCCGATCTTTTTGTCATCAATAGATGTCATGATAAACCTTTCAAGTTTGATCTTTCGTGCGGAGATGGTGGACTTATTGATATTGAACATATCAACGATTACAGATATCTGGTATACATATATTTGTCTCATACGTGCTTTTAATGAAGGATACACGATTTTAACTGTCTAAGAATAAACCAAGCATGATATTCTATATAAATACATTTGTATTTATTACAATGAAAAAGAATTCTTATAAATGCGTATACAATCACAAATAATTTCGATAAAATTTTGAATACCAGGTTTGTTTTAGGTTCGAACACCAATCGGTACAATCATTGAAATACTTTTATGGGGTAACGTAATGAACATTGATGTGTACATGTCTGCCAAAGATTTTGGAAATGTAGCTGGACTTTGTGGAAACTTTGACGGGGATAGATCTAATGATCTAGAACATAGAGACGGAACTATTTCTGATGATAACAACAGAAGTTATAAATTTGCTGATAGCTGGAGGTTCGTCGTTGTATTATACTCGATCTTTTTTAAAAACTTTCGCTTATTTATACCTTTTAAGATATTTTTGTGACATTTCCTTGTGTCAACATATAACAAAATATGGAAATAACAAAATATTTTAGGTTAATTACTTTTAAACAAGGTCTGTTTCTCCTACAAATAAAGTAATTAACTAACTTGATATATATCTATTTTAAGAGACATTACTTGTTTGCATGATTGATAATAATTTTTGTCATTGTCGCAGCTCAAACGAAACAAAGGGTTTCGTCGACCCTGCTGTGAGTTCTAGACCTGTAGTGAAGGGGTCTGTAAAAAGACAAGTTTTTGTTTCTCAAAATATTTATTCTTCACCCAAACAAAGCTAAGGTCTACGCCAACAATTTCACAATTTAAGTGCGCGTGGGTATTGCAAATTAGCGGAGTAATGGAACAATAAGCAAAAAAAATCAATATCAGCTATGAGTGTAAGAATTAAAGTAAAAACTACAATAAACAAAAAGGGACATTGACAAAAAATAACTCTTCTGAGACAAACATGAACACGAACAAAACAAAAGACATACACAAAATTGGCAATACATGCAATGTTTACTTGACCCTGTGACATCATTATAAGCACATTTGTGTATTCAATTTTGGCAAATGTTGAAGTGAAATTTGATAGCTTTCAAAACAATATTTTAAGTGTCGTTAATAAAAGTTTTCTACGAGGATTGATCAGCCCGATGTACATCCGATAGTCAGAGAAGATCAACCCAACTAATGGTCTTACTTATCAATATTATCGCCCTCTACATGAATGCACTTTGCCCACTTGTGCTTCCACTTGTTTGACCCTTGAAAAGAGAACTCTCTATTTTGGTCTCTAAGAATTCATTGACCGCCTCCATGACACTTTCATTGCTTCCAAAGCGTCTACCATGAAGCTTGGTTTTCAGTTTTGAAAAAGGTAAAAGTCAGAGGGGGCCTAATCCGGGGAATATGGGGCATGAAGAAGAATTTCAAAGCCGCAATCAGTTGCAGCAGCCATCGCAAATTTGGATGTGTGAGCTGGCGCATGGTCGTGCAGGAGGAAAACGCCTTGTGTCAGTTTGCCTCTCTCTTTACGCGCGTTTTCATGACACAGATGTCTCAATTCGTCTGCATAGTACGTACCGTTTATGGCACGACCTTGCTCAAGATAATCAATGGTGATAATCCATCGCCTTCCCTGATGGCACCCCTTGAATTCGGGGGGGGGGGTGAGCCAGAGTGCTACCATTGCATGCTCTGTTGTTGTTTTGTTCATTCTGGATCGAAGTGATGGACCAATGTTTTATCTTGAGTTACGGTCCGGTAGATAAAACCAGGTTCATCCTCGTAGCGAGCCTGGTCCGTTTCTGGTCGTCAGTCAACTGTCTGGGGACCCACCTCGCGGAAACCTTTACATGCCATAAACATCAGTCAGAATTGCCTGAACTGAACCAAAGCTTAAACCTACTTTCCAGCAATGCTTTGCAGGTCTCGCCTTCTGTTGCACATGACAAGATCGTGCACAGCTTAGGCAGTTTCATCGTTGGTGGCTTCATTTGACCGCCAATGCCGCTCATCATCTCCAATGCTCTCCCTGCCCCTCTTGAATACAGCAGCCCTTTTTTCACATTGCTATAGGAAAGGGGCTTCTTCCAAAGTGTATCCATAAAGTCTTCATGGATTTCCTTGGGGGACATTCTTTTTCTTTAAGAGGTACTTAATGACGGCCCATATTTCAACTTTCTTCATTTGGTCTAAAGATACACCCATCTACTGACCAAAGTGAATTTTATGTTACTAAATCTGTGTAAAAACGCGTGTAACTCGGTCAATACTAATCTTCAATAAGATACCGTTATCGACTTATCGTGTTTAGATATCAGTGTAGTGGCTGGAAGTATATTGAGCCGAAAACTTTTTGCTCATAGCGCGTTAAATATGATAAACAAGATAAACAAGGAAAGGCGGCGTTCAATGAACACAATTTAATTGATGAGCAAAATGTACTTACCCAACATTATTTCGTGTGGAATAGTATTGACTGCAAAATAATGTAGTCTTCATGTATTTCATTATCATTTTAGAATCTACAATGAGGATCGTTCATAATCCATTGTAGATGCTAAAATGATAATGAAATACATGAAGACTACACGATGCTAAGAATAGATGCGGATCAAATTATTATGCGATTGATCAATTCTTTATTTCATTTAATTCTCAATGAACAGTAGTTGAATAGTTTTGGGTTCTTGCTACGCATTATATCATTTGTATTACAGATTGACTGATGAAGAAAATTTGTTTATAAACGCAAAACGTAAACGTGATCACTGGAATGTAAATAATGTTGGCAAGAAATGTGCAAGAGCAAATTCAATAACAAGCAAAAAATGTAAGATCAGCAGAAGGCAAAGAAGATCAGTTCCTGAACACTCAGAAATGAAAATGAGTACTCATTATCAACACTTGATGTCGCGTAAAAAGGTATTGATTTTTAGTGTAGTGGTTATATATGTAGTAATAAAGATCCTGTATGTTTTGATCAAAGTGGTTAACCACACTAAGTGAAATTATATATATGTACATAATTATGCAAATAACTTCAAAGAATATGTAAGATATGTGCTGCAAATATTTGTGCATATTATATGTAATCATTACAATATATGCATTATTTCTTATTGTAAAATTTGACTTAAACCATATTGAAAATAAATTTCTACTTACCTCCCTTTATTTACATGAATGGATAAATTCGGTAATATCCTTATGAATAATGCTTTTTGAACCTACAATATTGATAAATCTTAATTATGATTTAAAACCTTAAAAAATTGTGATACAGGATCTTTAAAGTCAATCTTTATCAAGTAATTATCTTTGACTCTACATTTTAAATCATGCGTATTTTTAGTTCCTATCCACAAAATTCAACATTGACTGGATGTTTTGATACAGTTCTCATAGACGATGCTGCTGTTAGTATTGTAAATAAGCCTTCCATTGAAACATGTTATATATGATGTTTATTCTACTCAGTTTCAATCAAGTTCTTATATCGTGTGAAGTGGGCTCTTAAGTCTTTTAATTGAATTACATAACTGCATAGATGATTGAGTTGAATTGACGTAAAAACTATGATTCCGTTTTACTTTCGAGTTATAGAATAACTTTCACATTTGTATTCACTATCTTTTCTAGAGAGCCACAAACAGTTTTACTGAGGACGAGGCATTTCAGCTTTGTAATCATTCAATCTATACAACACCAGCAGTCAAAGAATTTCCAGATCATCTCGCCGAAGAAGATCCAGATATAGTCGTAGAACAATGTGTTTATGACTTGACGGTGATTATGTGCTACTTGCCGTACATGTGATTATGTGCTACTTGCCGTACATGTATCGGCGCTGTATCAGTTTGAAATATTGAATAGTTTTATTCATTATTTGGTCTTTGGTTCTTTGACAGCGCAATTATAATAATCATTTTTCTTGAGGCGGGTCTATAAATGAGCATAAATAGACTCTACCAATAACTAAAACAAACTAAATGATTACTGAATTTACATACTGATATTGTTATCTTTTCTAACTGGACTAATTACAGCTGTTAAATATGTGGCGTTATAACTGTGATCAAATAAATATTGTGAAAAAAGCGCATGGAACCAACATATATATAAATCTATTTTCTTCACTAATATGCTTGTAGCAAGGAAACGACACAGCTTGGATTGATGCACACGTGACTATTCTAAACAATGCTGCCGATACAATTCTCAGAATGAGCCCAGTGTATGTCGCTAATAACACAGATAAAGTAAACTCGTTTCGTAGTGAAATTTGCATGAATAATTGCAGTGGAAACGGAATTTGTACAGACACAGGTGGGTTATTTTTTGAAATGATCTATTAAATGAATAATGTACAAATTTGTATTACATGTACAATACTTATATTTATCAATGTTATAAAACATTGATGTGCATATAGCAATAATTTGACTTTGTTATTAATGGTTTATTTTTTGTTTGTTTTATGTTAAGGTCTTTGTGCATGCAATGGAATATTTCGAGGACCTGATTGCAGTATAGACATCAGAATTCCACCTGTTGTGTTTGTAATAGAAGGGGACGGTGTGTGTACAATAACGGATGAGGACGACTGCACATGTTTTCAAATAAGCACAGACAACATATTTGATGGTTTTATGTGCAACATCACCGAATATAAGGTTTTATAAAATATATCACTGTATTTGTTTCTATAAGTAAAAACACAAAACAAAGGTATAAAATGATAAGAGGGACAGAGATATGAAAATCGTTGGATAATTATACAATATTGGAATCAAACTGTTTTAAACTATTGATCGATTTACAATAACCTCTTGCTCAAATACCCTTTCTCTTTTGGGAAAGGAATACAAAAATACAATTAGAAATTCTATAACTGAAATATTTGTTTGTAAATTGTCTCTTACTTCCTGCTTTTCTTAGGTATATTCCAATGGTTCACGTATAGAAGGAAATACATCAACAGGTTTTGGTTATTACGAGGATATCTTTACTGGCGAATGCTGTGTCCCAACGGCGATAAGAAATAGCTCTTTCGATTTCAACAACGAAACAGACAAATTGTTTGTCATAATGTACGAGCTGTCTATCAGCAATGATGGTGCAAATTATGGGGATGCCAACCCTGTATATATTTATGATACAATATGTATAGAACAAGTTGAGATAAATGATACAGTTACATTCAGACTAAAGGTATTCATTAAAGACCTATTATTTATGTCTTGAACAATGTTATAACTGAATATAAGAGATGCAGTATGTGAAGACATTGAAGTGATAGGCTAAAAATACATACATTTGGATGAAGTTTAAGTAAATAAATATACATTTACTACGTCTCTCTATTTCCTAATACAAAATATAATATTGTTTTGGTTTGGTGTTAATTCGTCCTAAGACAAAAACAGTTTTAAAGATTTTGTTGTTGTATTTTTTGTATTTTTGAATAAGAAATACCTTGTCAACATATTTGACTTTGAATAGATTATTTCTATAGACATAATAGCAACATACTATATATAGAAATATATAATTCTTAATTAACTTTTTATGGAATAGCTATTGCTTCAATGCTGTAACGTGCATTGCTCAGAATTTCAAAATATTCGACAATGATACATGTTTTACATGTGATCCTTCAAACGACCCTTACGGTTGGACTAAATGTAAGTATATGTGTATTTGAGTCAATTTTTCCGACACATTTTAAGCTGAAAACTTAAATAAATACTTGAAATTACAATACTAGTGAAGTTTCAGTAATGTTTATCATTTCAATCCTTTTCGGCCTACCCGTGTAGGTCATGTTTATCATTTCAATACGTTTTTACCTGTTCTACTTCTTAAAGATTTTGGCGTAATTGCATCAAAGTTAAATCAAAATACGTTTCGCATATTTATTTTTAAGCAGATATTTGAATTGAAACAAATAAAGATAAATAGGTTGTACCAATAAATCAAAGTTTGTGTTTAGAGCCTAAAGGACTATATTGGTATATGCAAAGCTGATATGTCTTCATTTATGTATTTCATTTTGTAGATGATTGTGAAGACTCAGGTACGGGGCTGGGAACAGGGGCTATTGTAGGAATCGTGATCGGCTCATCAATCATAGTTGTAGTAGCAGGTGTGCTGATATATGTGTTTGTATCCAAAATTTTAAAGAAACACAGGTAAACTTTTAAAATTAAAACGAAATCTAAAATGTAAATCCTGATTATCTTATATTATTGAGAATAAAGTTGTCTGCAAATGTACAAATGTAAAAATGTAAATGAACATTTTTGAAATAGAAAAAAAATCGACTAATGCTGTAATGTGTTTATCAATAAATAAAGTGCATAGTTTAATGTCTTCAAATATCAAACTTAATTAAAACAATCAATTTTAAGAGGAATGGTTTTCGGTAATTATATTAGTTCGCAACTAGTTTGAATGAAATTTCACAACCTTTGGTAAACATTTACATGGATAAATTTTATTTTTTATAATAATCAGTGGAATTTGTGCTAACCATAATTTGCCATTGATTTATTTTAATATTCAAGATTAAAATGCATTTTTGATCATTCAGTTCATCAATCGGCGTTCAACCAAAGTCATGGGTGTCAGATGATGATTTACATAGAAATACAACGCAAATGAATGGCAACCTAACAAAATTTCTCAATCCAGCTAAAACAAAGTTTCAACAGAACGTAATGATCGGTGCAGCACATCAAATTCACCATGGTACAAAGGATATCTCAACTAAAGAAACGGATATGATCAATAGAGAAGTCGACAATTATGAAAGTGAATGTGGGCAACGCTCTGCAACACCAAACAATTCAAAGCCAAAAAGGGACATTTCGTATATAGATATTGAATTGGACTAAAATATAGTCCGCATAACAATACAAAAATGAATGAATGTATTATTCATTTATTTCTAAGAGGTGTATTAGCTAGTGTTAAGAAGCTTGCAGTAATCTTTTATTATTGATAACATTTCATAACGATTGCAATATTATGCATAATTCATGTTAGTTTGTAGAAGGGTTTGGATAGATTTTCATGCACATTATCTGATACTTGTATTTATATTATTGCCAAATAAATCGTTTAATATTGATTCATACCAAGGGAACATCTACTAAAATTTAATTTTCAAGTAGTAACTAACGTTAAAATTTCTTTGTTTTCAACATTTACCTATTTGTATTGAAAGTATCTTGTAATGTGTGCAATAGCATGCAAAAATCTTGTTGGGTTATTGAATATTTAGGTTAGTATTCCGAATTCCTTATCTAATACTTCAAATACTCATCATTATTCTAATTGTTTGTTGTTGTTTTTTATTTGTTTCTTTTTTATATTTTTTATAGTTTTTTTTTTTTTTGTTTATTTTGAAAAATACTATAATGAATATCTATTGATTCTTTTTGTTTAAAAAAGGTGATATAATGAAACCAATGTAAATTAAGAGTATGATATTGTAAATATGAACACAAACATTCAGTCCGGATGAACCCTGCAAAAAGATATTTCCAACAATCTTTAAATAATGTCGCTATGTAAACGTTAATATACACATATTACATCGGAAAGTTCATACAGCACAAATTAGTACTGAGTGATCTAACATATATCAATGTTAATATAACATTTATCCTTGTAATAAATGTTTGTTCCTAATTTCTTTAGTAAAAATATCTTTCTCAACTTCAAAGATGTAAGACTGAAATCTGTTGTACGTTATTGTATTTTACGACAATTATCAAATCATCGATTTTCGGCACAGAACAAGGTTCTTATATATATCATCCATTGCCTGATGTATTTAGATAAAGGTAGCAAGAAATGTGTAAGATAAACTGTTTTGCATATATTATTTCTGTCATATCTTTATTTTTTTCATAAAAGCTACCATCCTATCTCGTTGGAGTCTGTGTTTATATAAAAGCTAAACACCCTATCTTTATAAAGTACATTTTGAGTCACAGCTGAAATCACCGTAATGTAACAAAATATGTGTAACTAGGAGACAGACGGGGAACGTCATCGAATGCATTAAGATATCAACCTATATTTATCGTTTCATTATGATTCTTAATCACTAAATTACTTTAAGATATCGATTTCTGATACTCCAAAAGAAAAGAATACAATTTCTCTAGCTTTATGATTTATTTACTGGTTTATAATAGGATATCTGTGATACCATTAATAAGTATGATGATAGTATTTAGTATAATTCATGACAATATACTACAAACGAATTATGTAAATATGTTGTTAGTGTTAGAAAACATGATTCGAAATATATTAAGTATTTATAAAAGCAAATAATAAGATAAATGTCATAAAACAAAATATTATTAATCGTCATACAAATGTTTATACTAAATTAGGGTTTTGTCAGCTTGACTATATTCCCTGGGGCTAGGTAAAACTGGGCATGGATTTCCATTGATAACTACTAAAAGGGCATATCACCTTGGGTTTTGTCAGATTGACTGTATTTCCTGAGACTAAACCGGTTATAGATTTCCGTTGATAACTACAAAAAGGCATATGATCGTTGATTTTGACAGATTAACTGTAATTTCTGAGGATAGAACCGGGCACACATTTCCGTTATCAAATTCTTAACAGGCCTATCACCGTGGGTTTGGTCAACTTGGCGGTATTCCCTGAAACTAGAACCGGGCTAAGTATTCTGTTGAAAACATCTATAAAGGCCTGTCACCGTAGGTTTAGTCAGCTTGATTGTATTACCTGAGCTCCTGCAGTTCCGTTAAGAACTACAAAAAGGGCTATCATCGTGTGTTTTGTCAGCTTGGGTATATGTCCTGAGGCTTGTACCGGGCTTAGTATTCTCTTGAAAACTACAAAAAGTCCTTTATCGTGATTTTGGTCATTGTGTGCAATCTCTCAGGCTTGAACCGGGCATGGAATTTCGTTAATAACTACTAAAATGGTCTAACAGCGTGTGTTTGTTCATATTGACTGTATTCCCTGAGACTAGAAACCGTGACGGTCATGGATTTCCGTTAAGAACTACGACAAAAGGCTACCAAAGTTTGTTTGGCCAAACGGACTGTTTTTCCTGAAGCTAGAACCGTGCATGGATTTTGCTTAAAAATTACCAAAAAAGGCCTTTCACCGTGGGTTTGGTTAGCTTTACAGTATTTCCTATGTCTAGGGCAATTCTTATTATTCTCTTGAAAAGTGTAAAAAGTCCTTTATCGTGGGTTTGGTCAGCTTGACTGTATTCCCTGAGGCTAAATCTGTGCTAAAAGGCCTTTCACCGTGGGTTTGGTTAGCTTTACAGTATTTCCTATGTCTAGGGCAATTCTTATTATTCTCTTGAAAAGTGTAAAAAGGCCTTTATCGTGGGTTTGGTCAGCTTGACTGTATTCCCTGAGGCTAGATCTGTGCTAAAAGGTCTATCACTGTGGGTTTGGTTAGCTTTACTGTATTCTCTAAGTCTAGGACCATGCTTATTATTCTTAAGAAAACTATAAAATGGCCAATCACCGTAGGTTTTGCTTGACTGTATTTCTTGAGGCTAGAAACAAGCATGGTTTTCCGTTAAAAATACTAAAAAGCTTATAACCATAAGTTTTTGTCAGATTGACTGTATTTCCTGAGGCTAGAACCAGGCATTTAT